CTGAAGAAGTTTCTCCTTATCTCCATTTTAAAAGGTCTTCCCTTTACTCTAAGGCTGTGCCCTCAGGTCCTAGACTCTCCTACCAATGGAAGCATCTTCCTAACATTCACGCTGTCCAGGCCATTGAGTATTCTGTAAGTTTCAATTAGATCCCCCCTCATCCTTCTAAACTCCAGTGAGTATAGTCCCAGAGTTCTCAAACGTTCCTCGTATGTTAAGCTTTCCATTCCTGGGACCATTCTCGTGAATCTCCTCTGAACCGCTCCATGGCCAGTACATCCTTCCTGAGATATGGGGCCCAAAACTGCACACAATACTCCAAATGTGGCCTGACCAGAGCCTTATAAAGCCTCAGTATTACATCCCTGCTTTTATATTCAAGTCCTCTCAAAATAAATGCCAACATTGCATTTGCCTTCCTGACTACTGACTCAATCTGCAAGTTTACCTTGAGAGAATCCTGGACTAGAACTCCCAAGTCTCTTTGCACTTCTGAATTTTCTCTCCATTTAGAAAATAGTCCATGCTTTTATTTTTCTTACCAAAGTGCATGACCTCACACTTTCCCACGTTGTACTCCATCTGCTACTTCTTTGCCCACTCTCCTAACCTGTCCGAATCCTTCTGCAGCCTCCTCACTTCCTCAATACTACCTGTCCCTCCACATATCTTTGTATCATTTTCAAACTTAGCCAGAATGCCCAAAGTTCCTTCATCCAGATCATTAATGTATAAAGTGAAAAGTTGTGGTTCCAACATTGACCCTTGCGGAATACCACTTGTCACCGGCTGCCATCCTGAGAAAGACCCTTTTATCCCCTAACATACCTCCAAGTGTCATTAATATTCATCAGGTTCGTGAATAGCCTTTGGGGAATGAACCAGGCACACAGCAGTGCAGCTCGTTCTTAATCAGTCTCTCTTGGTTTAGAGGCAATAGGGGATGGACAATAAATGTTGGCCTTGCCAGTTGTGAAAGAATAAAAAAGCAAAGGGCTGGGACATCCTGAGCTGCTACAGGATGATGGTATCATGGCAGCCGCCAGGACAGAGACCACAGCCATACATGAAGAACCTGTGGTCTCAGACTAGCTCAACCATTGGAAGCCCAGCCTGTTGCTGAAACTCACTCTAGTCCCTATGGCTGCCATCAATAATGTACTTGTTCGAATCCAGGGATGGAAATGAATTTCACAGGCCTCTTTAGCTGCCTGGTTGCCTCTGTTTGCAATTGTATGTAAAATCCAGATCTCAGCAGGATATCACTGACCTATGAGCTCCCTCTTGAGACACAGAGTCCTACAGCACGGAAATAGACCCTTCGGTCCAACCAATCCATGCTGATCATGATCCTAAACTGAACTAGTCCCACCTGCCTGCTCCTGGCCCATATTCCTCCAAACCTTCCCTAGTCATGTAAGTATCCAAATGTCTTTCAAACATTGTAATTGTATCCACATTCACCACTTCATCATGAAGTTTAATTTTACACACGAACCACCCTCTCAGTAAAGAATTTGCCTCTCATGTCTTTTTTTAAAAATCTCTCTCCTCTCATCTTAAAATATGCCTCCTAGCCTTGAAATTCCCCATTCTAGGGAAAGGACACCTTCCATTAACCCTATATATACCTCTCATGATTTTATAAACTTCAATAACGTCACCTCTCACCCTCCTACACTCCAAAGAAAAATGTCCTAGCCTATCCAGTCTTTCTTTATAACTCAAACCTTTCATCCCAGGCAACATCCTGGTAAGTCTCTTCTGAACCCTCTCCGGCTTAATAATATCCTTCCTATAACTGGGCAACCTGAACTGGACACAGTATTCCAGACGAGCCCTCACCAATGTCCTGTACAGCCTCAACATGACTTCCCAACTCCCATACTCAAAGGACTGAGCAATGAAGGCAAGTCTGCTACACGGAACATGCCACCAGGGTCTGCAGCTGATCCTTGGAAAGAGCCAGAGGTGAGACTTTCAAGTTCTCTGTGGCTTTAAAGGCTCCTATCAGGACATACTAAGCAGTGCTACAAACTGGGTATATTCTTCCTGCTAAATGTCAACTATCGTCAGCCTCATTAGGTGCAATATCTTGCTACACTGATTGTCCAATACATCCAACCAACTCCTTCTTGGGTGCCACATTCAATGCTGAAGGTTTTGGCCCTTCATTGCCTTCCTGCCTTGCTCCTGAGGCTGTACACCCAGTTCCAGAGGATAATAGTCCTCACGTCATTGCAATTTTTGGCTACCTCAATGCTCATGTCGAGGTCTCTCTCTGCTTGGGGTCTGCTGCACTACAGTGCTCACTGAACCCTTCTCTCATGGCCTCACTTTCCCTGCAAGAACACAACTCCCTTGACTAAGTAAACATGTACAGACCATGTGCTGTTCTAGCTTAATGACAGCTGTGTGCCAACTGGTGAGTTCCTCTCAGCCGTGCCATCTTTAATCAGCGTCAAACAACTGTGGGCGGTGTTTCTGCCTCTTTATCCTTGGCTAGATCATGATCTCTTATGTAACAGGTGGATCTTGATCAGCCGGCATGGTTAAAGTTAATCTGAATTAGGCCAGATTCCTCCACACCCATAATCACCACCATCCTCCCCACCAACACCCCCCCACCCCCAACCACCACCACCCCCACTTTAACAGGATGGCTGAAGGTTAGAACAGCATCAGTAAACTGGTACAACTGGCATGTATTACATGTATTACAATTTCATCCCACATCAGGGTAAACACCTTGCCACTTATCCAAAGGCAAGAATTGTTTCCAAGAATAATGGTTGGAATTGTACCACTCCTTTGGCAAAGGACCAACAGCCAGGAAGAGTGGCGAAATAGTGCCTGGAGCACCATGTCATTTTGCCAGTGGCAGGGCAGATGACGTCCTCCAGGAGCCCAATTGTCAAGAGCCCATGTGAAATCCACATCCTGCCTCTGTGGGGTACTGTGCCGGGGTGCCTGATGTCACCTCGAGTGACCATCCACTAAAATCTGGCAGCCCCCAATGGGCTGCGGGATGTTGAAGAGGGTCCTCCATCCTTATAGCGGACCACCTGAGCCATGATGGGACATCCCAGCCACAATTCTGCTCCACAATGACTATGTCGCCTGTGCTCTCTGATCCCTCTCCACTTATCCACTATCTTTCTGGGTGCAGTGTTCCCCAGTGCCACCTGCCCTTCTTCAAGTGCATTTTGACCATGGATGTCCTAGCAATGGACAGCAATAGTGATGGTGTTGCAGCTACTACTGAATCATTGGCTCCAGAACTGGGCTGGCAGCTGCTTGCAGCATTCAATTAACATGCCACTACTGGGCACTTGCTTGCCCAGGTCCCACCACCGCTGGTGTGTGGTTGCCACCCGCGGCAGGAGGACATTTCTTCATCTATTTGTGGAATGTAGGTGTTGCTAGTTAGGCTAGTATCCATTGCTTGGAGAACAATTAAGAGCCAACCACATTGCTGTGAGTCTGGAGACACATGAAGGTCAGGCCAGAACACTTCTCACGCAAAAGGGCATTTGTGGACCAGATGGGTTTTTAATATCAGTCAGCAATGATTATTTGGTCACCATTTATTCAGAACTTTTATTAAAGTCAAATTTCACTCAGCCATGGTGGATTTGAAGCCATGCCCCCCCCCGTATATTAGCCTGGAGTTCTGGAATAATCGTCCACTGACATCACCACTACATCATCACCTTGTCTTTCCTCTGCCCACATGGGAAAATTTGGACAGGCAACAAGTTTTGCATGTTATCTAAAAAGATCAGTGTAAACTATTAATGCTGCTACAGAGCTACTCTGCAAGCAACTTAAGATATTTAAAACTTTACTACAATATTTTGACCTATTCATTGCTGCACATCCAAGGCAAAATAATACATAGTCAATACAAAGTATCAAACTAATAGCTCCACAACTCCGATCTATTTACTTGAATGCTATTTTCTTGAGATGCATGTGCTCGTTATTACAATGGAAATTAGTCAAATAAGGGCAGTAAAGTGGAACACCTACATAGGAATGAAAGTCAGGGTTATATTTGAACATTCAACGTTCTGTGTGTTTTAATATATTCATTTGTGGGATGTGGGCAGCGCTGGCTGGCCAGCATTTCTTGCCCATCCCTAGTTGCCCTTGAGAAGGTGGTAGTGAGCTGCCTTCTTGAACCGCCATAGTCCTCCTGCTGTGGGTTGACCCACAATGCCATTAGGAAGAGAATTCTAGGATTTTGATCCCGTGATAGTGAAGGAACGGCGAAATATTTCCAAGTCAGGATGGTGAGTGGCTTGGAGGGGAACTTGAAAGTAGTGGCGTTCCCATATGTCTGCTGCCCTTGTCCTTCTAGATGGAAGTGGTCGTGGGTTTGGAAGGTGCTGTCTGAGGATCTTTGGTGAATTTCTGCAGTGCATCTTGTAGATAGTACACACTGCTGCTACTGAGCATTGGTGGTAGAGAGAGTGGATGCTTATGGATGTAGTGCCAATCAAGTGGACTGCTTTGTCCTGGATGGTGTCAAGCTTCTTGAGTGTTGTTGAGGCTGCACTCATCCAGGCAAGTGGGGAGTATTCCTTCACACTCCTGACTTGTACCTTGTAGATGGTGGACAGGTTTTGAGGAGTCAGGCAGTGAGTTAATCGCTGCAGTATTCCTAACTTCTGACCTGCTCTTGTAGCCACTCCGTTAACATAGTGAGTCCACTTGAGCTTCAAGTCAATGATAATCCTTAGGATGTCGATAGTGGTTGATAAGCTTTGAATTTTTTTTTTAATTGTAATACTCATTCATAAATTTACCAATAGTCTTCATATATTTTTGCTCTGGCTTTTCTTTCAGATATTTTATATAACAAACATGGCAAAATTTATTTTCTGAAGCACTTCTAATGAAATGCATTGTCTTGGATTTCTCTTGCTTTGTTTTTTGCAGAGTGTTTAAATAAAGCAAGGTTCTTTTCTCATAATCTCAATATTATCTTTGTAATATCACATTGATATGTGCTCATATGTGGCAGATGTTACTTGAAGAGGCCATTTGTCTACTTTTGGTTGTACTTCATCCCCAATCTCTGGCTTCTTGACCACGAAACAAAGAAAAGTAAGAGCAAATTGGAGGACTTCCTTGTTGCTGTGCTCCTGGGCTTGGCCAAGGTGTCTCTTTATAGACACAGACAATGGGTTGCGAATTGACTCATCAGATCCATGGCTCTCTTCCATGGTTAAATCCATGCCTGAGCATCCGTGTACAGGAAGGTAGGTGCTACAGTGACTGAAGGCCATCATCAACCGCAGAAATTACATTTGATTTAATTTTGTAAATTTCCTTTAAAGTTCTGTGTTTGTTAAAGTGCCCTTTAAAAGACTCTTAACAAGTAAAATAGTTAATTTGTATATCATAATAATGAATTAAAAACTGCAGAGCCCGAAGATCTGAAACAAACAAAAGCAGAAATTGCTGTAGAAACTTAGCAGGTCTGGTAGCAGCTGTGGAGGGAAAGCAGAATGAACGTTTCGAGTCAACCTTTGTTTTATTCTGAAGAAGGATGGTGAGACTCAAAACATTAATTCTGCTTCTCTCTCCAAAAATGCTGCCAGACCAGCTGAGTTTCTCCAGCAATTTCTGTTTTTAATTTGTGCATCAGTTCTTTATTGATTAAATCAAGAGTATAAAGCAGATGTTCAGTTTGTTTCCATTTTCTAACAAGGAAGACAGTTCAGAGCAGAATTCTTTATCTGATTTTATTAAAGTTACACTAACTGCCCATTTACAAATGATGCGTCTATTTCCATGATGATATTCATTTCCAATAACTAATTGATAGCTAAAAGGATTTGTTGAGAGCACAGTTGTTGTTAAAAACACAATTTGCCCTACAAAGCAGCATGTTAAATTCGATAGAACAAGTAACCATAAACTGTAAAAACGTGATAGGCTTTTATGTCTTTTTCTACTGCAAACCACGCTGACAAAATGCAAATAATTAATTTTATGCCATTCCCAATGGGTTATTTACAATAAGATATAAGACTTCCTATCTTTCACAGTAAACATTATTAACCCAAATGGAACAATTTCCCCCAAGAATCTTCAAAGATTAAACAACCTACACATCAGTATGTTTACCATATGTCCATTTTATTACCATGGGATTGTTAGAGATGTTTTCCAAGTTCTTTATACTGAACCAGATGTCACAAATCCCAGAGTGAAGTAAAATTAACGTGGTAGCCTTCACATGACCTCAACTCTGTGTTTGTTTTATCAATAATCAGTGTTAAACTATACAGGGCAGTTCTCGCTGAATATTCTCATTCTAAAGGCCACTTTGCCAGCAATTACCAAAACTGCTGACTTTGTTGAATGGTGGAGCTATAGCAGTACTTCATGTGATTACTCGTGCTCTGGATTTTTAATTGCTGTTTGCATTGGCAAAGAACATGCACCAGGTCTGGTTTGTGCTCTATACTTCCAGCCCTTTGCTTTCACTAACATCAGCATGGGATATTGTACTCGGCACAAGTTGTGTTGTGTAAACATAAACTGGTAAATTATCCTGTCACTCTACAAAAGTTCAAAGCTCTAATTGCTTTGGAGGTTTGGAAAACTCAAACGGACTGTTCTCTGAAATATTTTCAATGTTACATTCGTACAATTACTTGCTTTTCTGTGAAATTCCAACATAAAATGAATGAACAGCTGCAGAAATTCTGCTAATTGAAAGAAATAAAAATATCCACGTAATGCATCTATACAACTAGCAACTACATATATATACCTGGCTGCCAAGGGAGTTTTTGACCATCTGAAGTTACTACACATACCTCAAAGCAATGGCAATCTCTAATTTTCATTAATCTTTATCTCAACCTGCAGGCTCTGCAATGCCTTTAAAGCTTTTATATGATATTTTCCATTCTGGATTGCAATAATTATACTTTGTAGTTAATGATGAACAGTTGTAATACTGTTTTAACTCCCTGAATGCGGGTGGTACAGCTGAGTGTCCAGACTGTTCAACTCCGCATATACATAAATAGCACCCCATACAGAGAAAATAATCTTTGCAAGGCGATCTCTGGTTGTATATATAATATTACATGCCTCTTTAATTACATGTTCCCCACAAGCACAGTAGTCATAGATCTACCTTCCGTTTACTGATAGTCTCAAGACTCCTCATTGCAAACTTGTGGGACACAGTAAAATGATTCTTGTTTTACGGGATAAAACTTGAGATGCCACCTCAACTTCAGTTGAAACCTTGAGGATGCCAAGCAAGAAATTCTTAATTGCAGAGAGTGATTTGGTGGAATGTAACTTTTTGTTCCATTCAATTCCCATTCAATGTCAGGCAATCAATGATCCAGCATCCTTCAGAAGAATTTGTTTTGTTGATTTCTTCTCCTGTCTGGCTCTCGCACATTGGTTGGTATATTGTTGGGTTAGCATTCTGTGGCAACAGACTCCATTCTCAACTAGCTATTCTTCATCATATGCAATACAAATCTGTTAGCCCACAACAGGTCAAAAGGGTCTAGGCCCGAAACGTCAGCCTTCCTGCTCCTCTGATGCTGCTTCGCCTGCCGTGTTCATCCAGCTCTACACCTTGGTATCTCAAACCCAATCCGAAATTGCAGCCTATGTTCTGGCATGCTCTTTAAATCTGGCAAGTTTGAAGTATGAGTAACCCTCTCTGAAGGCATGGCTCAGCAATTCTAATTCATTGAAATGAATTTCAGTCAACACATACAAGATTCCAAAAGGGAATGAGAGGGAATATGTCGGCAGATGGATTCTGCCCGACAGGGACTCTAAAACCCAGGAGCACTGTCTGATGATGAGGCCAATTATTTCAGGCTGAGAGGAGGGAAAATTACTTCACTCAAAGAATGGTGAATCTTCGGAATTGTCCACCTCAAAAGTTTATCAATGCTCCATCACTGAAAACATTCCAGGTCAAGACAGACAGATATCTAGTTTCTCATTGAGTTTAGGAGTTGGGAGGTCATGTTGCGGCTATACAAGATATTGGTTTGGCCACTTTTGGAATACTGTCTTCAATTCTGATCTCCCTCCTATAGGAAAGATGTTGTGGAACTTGAAAGGAATCAGAAAAAAATTACAAGGATGTTGCCAGGGTTGGAGGGTTTGAGCTATAGGGAAAGGCTGAATTCGCTGGGGTTATTTTCCCTGGACTGTTGGAGGCTGAGGGGTCACCTTATAGAGGTTTATAAAATCATGAGGGACATGGATTGGCTGAATAGCCAATGTCTTTTCCCCAGGATAGGGGAGTCCAAAACTAGAGGGCCTGGGTTTAAGGTGAGATGGGGAAGATTTAAAAGGGACCTAAGGGGCAACTTTTTCTCAGAGAGGGTAGTGCATGTATGGAATGAGATGCCAGAGGAGATGGTGGAGGCTGGTCCAATTACAATATTTAAAAGGTATCTGGATGGGTACTTAAATAGGAAGGCTTTAGAGGGATCTGGGCCAAAACATGGCAAATGGGACTAGATTAATTTAGGGTATCTGGTCAGCCTGGATGAGTTGGACCGAAGGGTTTGTTTCCATTCTGTACATCTCTATGACTCTATAATGTTTGGATCCAGTTAAAAAGTGGAGTTGAAGACAAAGTTCAGCATGGATTATACTGAATGGCAGACTAGGTTTGACAGGCCATCTGGTCCACTCTTGCTCCCATTTGTTTTGTTCTTGTATCCAGTTCTTGGGAGCCATTTGTCTGGAATGGCTGCAGCCTGGGTTTCCCAGTGCTTCAGAAACACAGCAAGCGAGAGGGAGGAGAGTATGGGAACTGCCCTCTCCAACAAGGTTAAGTGCTTTTGCAACACTACCTTTGGGCCATGGACAGCGAGAGTGCTCTCTTCCCCTTCCTTGCCTCCCAGTCACCCTTCAGCTTCTTGAACAAACCTTTTACTGTTTCTCAAATTGAGATCTATCTGACCTCCCCACACAACTGCTCTCCCCACACCCCACCCTCTGCCTAGCGCAGCCCTGAGCTTCTCTGCCTACTGGGCTATATCTACAAGCATCTACCTCAGGTACTCCCATCCAGCAGGAGACTGAGCAGCAACTGAGCAGGAAAGACAATAGTAAAGTTCAAATAATGTCCTGACAGGCTTTGAAACTATAGGCATGTGCCCGTGTTCCTTCCTACCTACTTCCCAATGTTCAACAGCCATACCGTCATGATATACCCTCACAATAAATCCATCCTCTCCTCCAGTCTATACTCTAAACACACTGGCAGTAGTGGCGTCTGGATATTAACCAGTACTGGAAGCTCTAGCTGACATATCCCTTCTGAACACTTGAATTGATTGGAGTACAAGTTAGTATTCGACTGGCAGCTTCCTGATTTATACAATTCATTGAAACATCAAGGGAGGTATGTTTACAATCGTGACTGAAACACATTCTACCCTAATCGCAAACAACAACAAACTATTTTAATAAAGTTAAAATGGCAGAAAAAGAAACACAAGTCTGACTTTTGAACGCAGTAATTATTTTTCTCACTGATTTTTGTTTGTAAAAAAACATAGTTGATGTTCTCAACCTTGGATAAACTGCGTATTTGAACATAATGCTTCTGAAATAACATTTGAGGACAATATTTCCAATTGTTTCGGTATCATTTAAGCCATAACTTTTCAAAAATAGTTGATTATATGTAGGCACTATATTATTGGATAAAAAAATCGCCATATGTCTCCATATTAGATATTTGGAGTTCCCCAAATCTGGGACAGTCAAGAACTATGGGAATATGTATTGGCAAGTCACCATCCTACTTATACATGATATCTATTTCTTGGAACATTTACAGCCCAAGTAAATGGCCAAAGAAAAGTAAAGAAGTACCACCCATGTCATCTTCTAGTATGTAACTGTAATGGTCACCAATCAGAAACTAAGTTTGTCAGAACGGTTTCTCAGATCTCCTGGCTTGGCATGACAGTCTTTCGGCCTGGCATAGAGGTCTCTTGGTGGCCCAGCGTGGTGGTCTCTCAGCCTGGCATTGCCTCACCGTGGACTATCAGCCTCGAGATGATTTCAGAGTGATCTCCTGGTCTTGAGAGCCTCAAGGTGAAGCTCAGCACAGTCTGGAATCAAGGACTGGTGCAGACTGGAGGCTAGTTGCCAGAGTGGATGGGTTGGAAGGACTGTTGTTCTGAACTGTTTTATTCCTCTATTTTCTAATTTATTCCTTTGATCTGCAGTA